ATGCTGTGCTGGAGAAGAGGGGGGCAGTCTCCTCTTGTACCAGCCATATCTATTTTGAGGTCCACGCATACACAAAATAATAAAAAATATATATAAATAAAAAAATAAACAGTGGTGAAAGAATTCAACTGCTAACACAAAGGCTGACAGTTCAAGCCCACCAACTGCTTCAAGAAAGAAAAAAGAAACGAAAAGTGTATGTGAGTTTAAACCACATTTGAGAGGACACGGGACCTGTTTGCTACTTAGGGCTATTGGGTCAGAAGGTTCTTGAGGGTGTTTTTGGATGAGAAGTTAAAGGTTTATCACCTATTCCTGTTAAGATTTTTAAAAGCTTCCAGGATACATGGATATGAGAGGGGGGAAGCGATTACTGTATTTCAATTTGTAAGCAAGACCAATGGATGTTCTGACACCAGTTTTTCCTTGGCAGCTCTTTCTTGCTAACTTGTGATGCTATTTTGGGAATAGATTGATCTCATAAGTGTTACCAGAGACATCAATTTCTTTTTTGGTTTACTACATGTTCTTCCTGACTGGTATAGGAGGAGATTGCCCCTCCTTCTCCAGCAGAGCACCTGGTGGATTCAAACTTCTCACCTCTGGGATTACAGTGCAGCTTCTTGCCACTAGGTCACCAGAGCTTGCTCTGTTTTGTTTTTTTTTTTTAAAGACATAACAATTTCTAAGTCACCTGTTGTAATGGTCATTAAAAACACTTACAAGAAACATAGAAACGCAAATGGTGCTTTTTAATTTGTTTCAGTCTACTCCAATCGTTAAAACACGTTTTTGTATTTCTTAGTTTTTCCCTTAATGGTCTTAAGGTCACTTCTAATGGAAGCCTAATTTGAGTCTTTTTTTTTTTTTTTTTTAACAGAAGGATGTAAGTTAAAGGAAATGTTAAGAACTGGATAGAAATTATCACTGGTTTAAATGAAAACTCTGGTGAATGACGTGTACGGCTTACTCCCGCCCTTCCTCATTGCTGTCCATTCACTGCTCACTCGTGGCTGACTCTAGCAGGTTTTTAGAGGATCTAAATCGCATAGGAGGGATTGTCTGTCTTCTGGAGAGCACCTGGTGGGAGAGGTTTCACCTTTCAGTTGCCAGAACATCTCCCTAAGCCTTTAACTTTTATCTCTACTGGGAGCTGGGCAGGCAGTCTCCTACCTTGAGATTTATGGCCTTTGAAAAGCTGCTATTAGTTGGACGGTACATTATTGCTGTTTCACCCTTTGTGGAAACAAGTTTAACCTGCTTTAAATTTAAGTGTGCATTTCTGAAAGGAAGCTAATTATCCCTGACTTCAAAGTCTGTTGAGTTCTTTTGCCATTAGTATATACATCTGTGTATTGTTTACTCTCAGCATTCAGAAATACAATTTATTTAAACATCTAGTTTGCTGAGAATCTGGAGAAAGATTTCATGTATTTTATTAAAGAAGTAGAAAAGGGTCAAATATATCAAGCAAAGATAGGAGCCTCTGCTTTATATTTGCCTAATGTTTTGACCGCACGCTCATAGGATGTGAGATGAAGTGTCACCATCCTTGACTCTGAAGGGTACCTTGATTGCACTTTCTCCAAGACCTGTTTGCTCTTTCTCTGCAGTCTGTGGGACACTCAGTACTCTCTCCAACACCACAACGCAAAGGCATCGATTCCTCTGTCATCCCTATTCATTGTCCACCTTTCAGATGCGTAACAAGCAGCTGAAAAGACCGTGACTGGGCGCAGTCTTTAAACTGGTATCATTTCTTCTTAGCCCTTAGAAGGGTCCTTGAGGGCAACATGGCCTTTGGCTGCTGGGTGTTGCCTGTAGAAGAAGAAGAAATTGTAAGAAGAAACTGTTGACAATTTGAATCTTTTCTCATTCTATCCTGATGTTCCCTGGTGACAGCTCTGGTGGCCTACTGGGTGAGGAGTTGTGCTGGCAACTCAAAGGCATATGGAATCCACTAGTGGCTCTGTGGGTGAAAGATGGCCGCACAGTCTCTCGTGTGATTGACAGGCTCCACAGCTCACTGCAGGGTCAGCTATGAGTTGGTTTCAATACATTAGCAACGAGTATTGCCATTAACCGATGAATAATTGTCTTCTCGAAGCCTTTGGAGGGCTTTTATTTTTAAATTTTTTTTTTTTTAAGTGTACAAACCATAATTTTTTTTTTTAATTTAGGTTGTTTATTTTTCATTTCAATGAACATCTACAGAGATTTTGGGATTCCATTCATTCATTGTTGCACCCTTCTCCCCGCACAAACTCCTCGCCCCTCCCCCCCATTTGCTCCTCTCCTTGAAAAGCAAAAGAAAAACTCCTTCATTGGTACACAATCCCCGCACCTCCCCAAATACTTTTTAAATTTTATAGCTTTAATTTGCTTGGCTCCACAGCCAACACTCTTGGCACCAACAGCCAGGAAATGAAAAGACGAATTGCACTGGGAAAATCTGACCTGTCCAGAGTACTGAAGAGCAATGATGTCAGTCTGGAGACTAAGGTGCGCCTGGTATAGGTCATCGTCTTTGCAATCACTTGTTATGCATCAGAGATCTGGACAATGGCTAGGGATGATAGAAGGAGAATTGATGCCTTTGAGCTGTGGTGCTGGAGAAGAGCATTGAATATACCATGGACTGCTAGGAGAACAAACAGGTTCATCCTGGAGAGGGTAAAACCAGTCTATTCTTTGGAGGCAAGGATTCTGAAGCTTCGTCTGACATATTTTGGACATGGTGCAAGGAGGGACCAGTCCTTAGAGAGGGATGTCGTGCTTTGGAGGGTGGAGGGACAGCACAGGAAAGGAAGACCCTTGATGAGATGGATTGAACCAGTGACTGGGGTCGTGGGGTTAGGTGTGTCAGAGACAGTGAGATTGGCTGTTGTACATAGGGTCGCTGTGAGTCGTCGGTGACTCAATAACACATAAAAACAACATTTGCTTGCCTACAAAATTCATATCCATTGTGTTTCATTCATATGTGTTCACACGTTCTTTCATTCACATTTTATTTTTTTTTTTCATTCACATTTTGTATAATCATTCTCATACATAAGGTTTTATAAAATTGATCACCATTGATCTATGCCCACTATTACCTCATCTTTTCAGGTTTCCTCTGGATCTTACCTAATTCCACCCTGCTTCCGCTCACCAAACTCTGCGGCCCTGTGATTTTGTCCCCCTACCCCACCCTCAGCCCCTCTGCTCCTACCCCCTTTGGACTTTTACATACATCTGACTAATTATCCTTCTATTTTTACAATAATAGTAATAATAGTGTTATACAGTATTTGTCCTTGGAGGAGTAACTTGTGAAGTAATTTGGATTGAGTTAAGAGAGTAATCTAACTACACTTGTGAAGTTTTGAGAAATCCGTAGAAAATGTTGGATTAAAATTTGGAAGGCATTTTGGGTGGAGAATTGACCGCTCTTAAATGTGTCTCACTGTGAGGAAATGAGTTCGTAGTCTTGGGTGACATTGAGGTCACTTGGCGTAACAATCCATAAAGACAGTATTTTCTATTCTACTTTGGTAAGTAGTAACCAAATCCTAAAAGCTTGGGTACAGCCACCTAAATGTACGGTGATTGGTCTGGAACAAAGAACAGGAAAGAAAAGGGCAAAGATGCTTAGAAACAGTGCAAAGGACTCCACTACTCTGGGATCAGAGTTAGATGGTGCCTCACTGCTGTTACTGTCCACTGTCGACATCAGAGGAGGAGGTCCTGGATAGAGGGGGTGGAAATGTAGAACAGAATTCCAGCCAGGAGACTGGTGAAGTCCTCAAGACTATTGTTGTTGTTAAGTGCCTTCGAGTCACAGGTGACTCATAGCGACCCTATGAAGGAGAGTCCTCAACACTTGGGTGTCTCTCATCCTCTCTCCAGGTTCATAGGGTTTCCAGAGGCAAGCTATTACGGAAGTGGATGCCACTCCTGCTTCCAAGCTTGTTTTAATCGGGGAGCTCCACCCCACACTGTCTGTATTGGGTAACCAACCATTAACACATTTGACACATCAAGACTATAGATAGCCTTTAATCACCCTTTGCGTCTGGAAGAAAATTCACCCCCATGGCTCAGCTGCAGACAAATGAGAGACAAGCTTATAAAATGAACAAGAACATGAGGGAGGGAGGAGGCACTTACTCCTTAGAAAAGATAGAGCCCAGAAGGCAGCAAGGTGGGATAGATTCAGGGAAACAGAAATTACAGGGAGGAATTGTGAAGACTGAGGTGACATCGTGTGTATTGTAAATGTCATAAAATGTGTCTATCCTGGAGTGGAAAGAACTTGGTAAAGTTTTAATTACAGGAAGACAAAAGTGCAAGTGTATGTGAAGGAAATAAATGATACTGTTTCAGATATGCTGAGAAATTAAATTTGACCAGAGGGAGGGTGCTACGGGAGACCTTGCCAATTAGGGAGACTTGGAGGAGAGTGTGAACTGATTGTGACTCAGCCCACGGCCACCTATGGAAGGTGTGCTTGTGTAAGTTCTTAATCTGGAGAAGTAAGTCACATGGTGTGGGGACCACACTTCTGAAAGCCACGTGAATAGGAACCACATGAAGGAACTGTTGTTTGCGGGTGGAGGAGGGACAGATCCCAGAGAGATTTGACATTAGTCATTGCAGGGAAGTGGTCGAGGCAGAAGAAACAGTAAGAGTGGATGATCGTACGCTTCTGCATTGGTGGGTAGAGGTGGCGATAGTAAGTGAATGCAGTAACTAGAATTGGTTAACTGAGGTATGGAGGATGGAGGTAGACTAACGACCACCTTTTAAGTACTACTACATGTAGGTAATGTTATGAGTGCTTTTGTTACCTATTATTTTTATAGTACAGTGAGTTAGATATCTATTTTACAGTGGAGGAAACAGGCTCAGAGATGTTGTGATTATCTTTATTTCCATATAAAGAAAACTGGTTAGTTACAGTTTTGATAAATTTTAGGTCTAAACCTAGATCATCCACTAGCATATGTTTTTGTCCAGTGATCATGTTTGTTTTTATTTCAGTTTCTTTCAGATCATTAAGAAGACAAACAATGGCTGACAATAGTTTATTAACAGTTACTGAGAGGACTGGCTTGGCCGACTCTTCGATTTTTGATTCTAAAGTTACTGAAACATCCAAAGAAAACTTATCTGTTGAATCTGCTACATATGTTGAAGGTAAACCTATTATCTGCTTTCAAATACTAGTACTGTGTTTTTCAATTGGAAACTTTGAATTGACTACACTTGCCTGTAATTGGACTGTAATAACCAGCTGCTAGGCTAGAATAAGGGAGCTCTGGGGCACAGCAAGAAGCTGCCCTGCAGCCCAGAAGGCATGTGGTTCGAGGCCACCAGCTGCTCTGCAGAAGGCTGGGCAGTCTCCTCCTGTGCGGTTAACAGCCTCCGAAAACCTCCTGGAGGGTCAGGTGTGGGTCGGTTGGGACTGTACAGTCTACACAACAAGAGGCTAGAATACAGGTGTTAAATACATACTTATTAACACATTTCTTTGTTATATAGATTTTCTGATTATCAATTGGATTATTGCTTCTCAATTTTGAAGGAGGAGGCATTTTATTGTGGATTTTGCTCGCTCTTGAATCGGAAGATCGTTTCTCAGCCACTTTGTTGGCTAAGCTGGATTTGTGCCTGGTTGGGTAGAAAGCAGCTTCTCTCACTAAAGTTGTGCTCACCTTGAAAGAGTACGGCTGTGCGTGGAGCGTGTGCTTTGGTTAAAGAGGAGGCTGCTCTTTGTACACGCTATTGAAATATGCTTTCTCTTTTTCAGAAGTTATATATGCTAAATAATTTTCTGAATAAGTTGGAAATTCTACTTTGAGGAATTTTTTTTTTTAAATTTTTATTTTATTATTTTTGTGTGAGTGTACCATCAAATCAGATCTGACAGGTACAGGAGGAGATTGTCCCTCCTTTCCCAGCAGAGCATCTGGTGGATTCAAACCATGAGCCTCTGGGATTGTAGTTGCAGCTCCTTGCTACTAGAGCTCCCCTTGCTTTGAGGAATTTTAAGCAGTGCTGTGATCTCTTTAACTGTGAAAGACGTGCTAGGCTTGGCCCAAATAGGGAATAGGAAGTACTGGATTTGATGCTAATACTAGTAAAACATATTTAAAAATTTTAATTTTAACAGAAGAAATGCCTCAAATTGAGACACGGGTGGTGTTGGTTCAAGAAGCAGGAAAACAAGAAGAACTTAAGAAGGCCATTGAGGTACGGAATGTGGGGTTCCCTCTCAGTTAAAAACTGCTATCTTTGCATCGTTCTGCAAATGAGTTTTACAATCTCATACTTAAGTAGTCTCTTTTCCACAGACTATTAAAGTAATGGAAGTCCCTGTAATAAAGATAAAAAAAGGTCCTGGAAAATCGGATGAGAAATTAGTAAAAAGTATTATTAATCTGGTAGGTCAACACCTCACTGCATGTGGCATGTTGCACTTCCCTTAATTTTGCTAGTTCACTTAACGGTGCTGGATTCGAATCATCACATCGTGTGTTTGGTGCTCTCTGAAGCTGGAGGAGTAGAAAGCAGCTTACACTTATTTTAAAAATGTAGGTGATGCGGCATGTTGATGCTGTTAATTGCCATCAAGTGGCCTGGACTCACAGCGACCCTCTCACAACAGCCCTAAACCCCCCTCTGTCCTGTCCCCGTCTTACTGTCTCCCACACGCCCACCCCCATTACCCCAGTCACTGAAACTAAATAATGAAGTAATGCAGTCCTTGTTGTCCTGTAAATGTTGTGTGAGACCTGATAATGATCTTTGAACGATTGCGCTGCCTTTGCCTCATTAATCATGCTTAGTCTGAATTCTTGGTTCTATTTCCACCAAAATTACAAATTAAAAAAATGGACAGTCATTAGGGAAGTTGCTTCACCCTTGCAAAAAAATGGATGAATTTATTGGCCCATTCAGAATTCTCTTAAATTGTTGGAGGTTTTTCTTTTTCTCTACATGTGTGACACATGTACTTAAAGGTCATATCTTTATTCTATGTGAATTTGCAGTATAAATTGTTAAAATCTATATTGTTTAAGGAGTAGCCTGCTATTTTTTTTTTTTATTAAATTTTATTAGTTTCAATGAACACTCACAGGGATTCTGGACTTTTCACTCCTTCATTGCTGCACCATTCTCTCCACCCTCCTCCCCAGTTTGTTCTTCTTCCCCGCCATCCGAATGTCTGTTTTAATTGTCCAATTGCCACAGTGCTTGTCAAAGTCAGTTCTGATTAATCTCCTTTGTCGGTGTGTCCTTTGCCATTCCCTATCACTCCTCCCTGAGAGAGACTTCACCCTGATTCATAATAGCCTGCTATTTTTATAGCCTTCAGTTACTACGCTGTGACTACGTACCTGTTCCGTATTTCATTATTTCCCTTGTATGTACTGCAATGATTATGCTAATATATATCTTTTTTGTAAGTCTTAAGTGTTTATTTTCATGAAATCAGTTAATTTATGAAGGAGAAATATGCAAATGCCGTCTTTTTCTTGGTCAGAATAAAGAAAGAATGGGTGTCTTTTAGTATCCTGTTAAATATGTACTTAGAAGTATTTAAGCATTCTAATGTTATGAAACTTTGTAAGCACACTAGAAGATTTACAGGGACTGAAGACGTATGTTTACACTTTTATAACATTGATCTTCATGGAGTAAGATCTTCATGTAAACAGACATGTATGGAAATACACTAAATGAAATAAATGTTTATTCAACATCAAATGTGATGCTAATTGTATAATTTAAAGCTTGAGTTTTATAAAAACTTTTTGAATGTTGATTTTTCTACATAAGACTAATAACTGATACTGAATTATTAGGCTTTAGAGAATTCTGTAAGTTTGTTTTTATAATTTATAACTTTTGTTTCTAATAACTACATGAAAAATCAAGGAAATTAAAGTGCCCTTTGTAAAGATGGAGTCAATGGAAGAATTTGAAAGTTTGGATTCTCCAGAATTTGAGAATGTATTCGTAGTCATGGACTTTAAGGATTCTGTGTTTAATCACCTATACAAGGCTGATTGCAGAATTATTGGACCACCCGTTGTATTAAACTGTGCACAAAAAGGAGAGGTAAGAAATAATACATACTTACTATGAATTTGCAGGGCTACACCTCTCAAGATTGCATTTTTCATTAGTAAATTTTATATGGTTTGTAAGAAAAATTACATTAAGTGTTGAGCGTGAAATAACTTGGAATGGGAATAATAGTCTCCTGGAGAGGACGAATGTTATACAGGAGGTGTCCAGGACTTTCGTTCATAGGGTTGCTATGAGTCACCTGCGACTCAAGGGCACTTAACAACAATGACAACATTGTGATGTCATTAATGCATACTGTAATCTTAACTTTTTCTCTTGTAATCTCTTCTGTTGGAAAGGACTTGGAAAGTGAATAGGAGAAGTTATTTACGTGTATACAAGGCTTTAATGGCTGCTACATCTTGGGGTAGTAATTTGCTTAAAACTTGGGTTCTAGAAAGTACCTGTTTGTGTGTGTGTGTGTGTGTGTGTGTGTGTGTGTGTGTGTGTAACCTACTTACCACTGAGCTTGATTAATGATGACTCTGTGTGCGTGTCAGATCGGAACTGTCTTCAGAGGCTGATGTTTTAGAGGTAGATAGCCAAGCCTTTCTTCCAAGGCTCTTGTGGGTGAACTTGAATTTCCAACCTTTCTTTTAACCATCAAAACTTCATGCCATTAAAACCTTTTTAAAGCGTTAATTGGAAGCATCTATAATAGTGTCTAGGGTCTGAAATCTTGCCTTATAGATAATATTTAAATGCTTCAAGGTGTATTTTGAAACAAAAGTTTGGGATTTCTTTGTTAAATTTGTCAGTAGTAAGATATTTATATTTGGTGTCAGATATAATTTGAGATTATAGATATGCATATACACGTCCATATATAGGCATATTATGAGAGATACTTGTTCATTGTGAATCTTTCAATGTAGCATTTTTGCTATTTTTCTGTTCTATATTGAAAAATACCAGTAAATCTTTGAATTGCAATAGTTGATTATTGACAAGAAGGCAGATACGTTTAGCATTAGAAAAATGCATTCTGTTTACTCCTACAAAACACAGATTTAACACTTTATTTTTCAGCCTTTGACGTTTTCCTGCCGCCCTCTCTATTGCACGAGTATGGTGAATCTGGTCCTGTGCTTCACAGGATTCAGAAAGAAAGAAGAATTAGTAAGTGTTTAAAAATAGTCAGCTCCAAGAATCTTTCCCAGAAGTACAACTTTAAACTGATAGCTTGACTTTTTTGTTGCTGTTCTGTGTTTGGAGTTTTGCTATATATAGTTTTATTTGCTAAACATGGGATGAGAAAATATTATAAATAAATGAGTTTTTTTAATATTTTTAAAATTCAGAACAGCCTTGTAAAGAAACAAATGTTTTGTGTGTGATGACTGGCATGTGTATTAAGTTTAAAAAAAGATGAATTTAAAAATCTAGCTATTGTATTTATGTGTCACATAGCCACTTTTGAAATATTTATATTTGGGTGGAATGTGTAAGGAGCCTTGGTGGCATGACCAATTGTTAGGAGCCTCTGTCTGCTCTGTGGGAAAAGAAGTAGCCGTCTGCTTCTAGAAACCGTAGAAGCCTTATGGAGCAGTTCTGCTCTGTCCTATAAGGTCATGAGGTTCCAGGATTGACTCCAAGGCTGTGTATTTGGTTTTTTTCCTTTTAACTTTTCAGTCTAGTTTTATTCTCACAGCCCTCAGGAATTCATAGATACTTTTGTTGCAAATGTTTTTGTGTTTGAGCTGAATGAATATTACTTCGTTTAGGTAAAGCTTGGTCATGGATGTAAAGAGCTTGGATGACACAACTTGATGTAGGAAAGAGCAGTTTATTGGGACAGGAGGAAAGCCAGCTTACCTCAGTTTTGTATCAAGATCTTTACTAAGCTTATTTCTGTTTAACATTGTCTTAGTAAGGCAAACTGATCTTTCTTTAATGTTTTATTTTGAGATGAAATAGAAAATATTCAGTAAATCCTAAATGAATTGTACATAAAGTATAAACTTTGTTCATATTAATAACGAAGTCATTGTTGCTTTGTTTTTCTTTTGAGGTCAGATTGGTGACGTTGGCCCATCACATGGGTGGTATTATTCGAAAAGACTTTAATTCAAAAGTTACACATTTGGTGGCAAATTGTACACAAGGAGAAAAATTTAGGGTATGTAAACTCAGATATTTTTGTATATTTTAGTATAGTATTGGTTTGAAATGGGTTTAAAAATGGCATTTTGCTTCTGTGTCTTACCAAATTCAGTTTGGATAACAAATCTAGGCAGTTAGCAAGTTATAACACCTGATTAATAGACAATTCCTGCTTGTCCTTTAAACATGGCCAGTGAAGCAATACCAAAATCGACCTGAATGTTTACACTTCGGGTAATTTGTCATGGCTAACTAGAACAGGAAATACAGGCTCGATCCGCTAGAAGAAGAGACTGAAAAGGAAGAGTGAGCCTGTTCTGTCGTCTGGTGCCTGAGATTGGACACCTGCAGGGCCCTGAAGTTGTTGTGGACTGCGCTGAGCCTCAGATTCAAAGTCTCGTTGTCAGTCACTGCCTTTGAGCAGTGCAGTGCTAATTTGGCTCAAAATCCATTTTATATTTATATTTATTTATTCTCCATGTGAAGTGATTGAACCAATCCCTGCTAGCAACAAATTCATTATAGTCTCTTTCACCTGCTGTACGTGCAGCTTTTAAATCTTTGAAAAAGCTTTAAGTCTATTCTTACACTAAGTTAAGGCCAAAGAACAGTCTGCACCTGTTCTCGTTGACCTCCTCATTCTTAAAGTCACATTCAGGAATGGACTTCATTAGTAGCTTGTGGGCTTTCCGTAGTAAGACTTTAAATTGTAGAAGCGTAATCCTTTAGTATTTAACTGGGCTTCAGACCGGTTCTTCCCGATTCAGTGAGGGCTGACGAAAGCGAATCTAGGACAGACTCAAATGTGTAAAATATGGATGAATTTTAATTAGGAACTGGAGTGGGAAGAATGAACAGATTGAAGCCTGCTAGAAACTTCATTTTCTCTCTTAGAACACAAGGATATCATGAATGTAACGCAGCAACCACATCTCTTGACTGGCAGTTGCAAACATGGGTAGTTCAGAGATCACGGCCACCGCAGCTTAAAGGTCAAGGCTGCCTATGTGGCTTTAAACGTGTGTGGCTTTAGTGACTCAGTCCCACGTGAGTCTTCTGAAAAGTATTCATCGTTCTTTTCCAAGTCTTCCATTATAGGGCTTCGACTCGGAATCCGTTATAGGGCTTTGACTTGTGGTTACTTCTAGCTGTTGTACCACTTAATCCAGTTTTAAAAATTCAGCTTTGTTCCAGTTTTGCTTCATTAGCCATGCCATAACTGGTTGAAGTGCTGGGTGTTAGGGTGGCCATGGAACTTGCCGGTTCCTGAAGGCTTGTTGGCGTGGTAGATGGACACCTGGGATTGCACGCTGATTAGCAGCATCCGTGAAGGTTACCATGACCGCTGGGAAATAACAGGACCAGAAAGTAATGGGAGCAGGTATTCTCTTGTTTTGGTGTTCTTTAAAACAAAGTTGTGGGGGAGCTCTGGTGGCCTAGTGGCAAGAAACTGAACTGCAATCCCAGAGGAACACGGTTCGAATCCACTAGACGCTCTGCCGGAGAAGGAGGTGCAATATCCTCCTGTACCAGTCAGATCTGATTTGACGGTACACGCACACAAAATTAAAAAAAAAAAAAATAAAACAAAGTTGTGTTCTTGTGCAGTAGTTCTGTAACTTGTCTTGGTGAAGAAGATTGAGAAGATAGATAGTACAGACAGACGAGAAAATACTGTCACGAGGATTAAAATCTTCATTTAAGATTGCACTAAATACTTTAGGAAGAGTTTAGTACTGTACTCTTACTCCCTCACAGAATATTTACATAGCATATAGCAATTTTAGGATAATAACTTCCTGGGAGATATTTTTACCAGCTTTTGTTAGTACCTTTGATGTTCTGAAGTGTTTTATTGGGGGTCAGTGTACTGAAGGAAGGAAAACTTGAAGAAAAGAGGAATAGTAGTATCACACGGGTGGACTTAAGAGAGATACTCATTTAGAATAAAATAAATAGCTTAGATACCATGGAATTTTAAGACTATTTTAACCTTATTGTTAATTTTTCTTTTTGTTCTGAATTAGATGAATGATGATTTCAAACTATGCAAATAGAGTGATTTTTTTTTTTTGTTTCTGTGTCTCATTTAGTAAAATTTTCTTTGCATTCCCATGACTGCAATTATGTAAGGTGACAATTCACTGTTAATGTTTATATTTTTTAGATTGCTGTGAGCCTGGGAACTCCAATTGTGAAGCCAGAATGGATTTATAAAGCTTGGGAAAAGAGAAATGAACAGTAAGTGTTTATTGAGATACTGTGTTGTTCATGTGAGTGAAACGTTAATTCTTTAGGGATAAGTACTTATATCAAAAACCCTGAAAATTGGAA